CCCAGTGGCCTGGTGCGGCCTGACGGAGGCGGAGTGGCTCGCTCCGGGCCGGCCGGCGCCGGGGGTGAGGCTGCCGGGAAGGGGCTGGGGGCGCCCGAGGGGCCGAGCATCCCTCTCCTCGGCCCGCCGGCCCCAGTCCCCCGCCTTCCCTCCTCCCGCCTGGCCGCCCCGCCCCGCCGTGACCACCGGGCGCCTCCAGAGCCCGACGCGGTAAGTGCGACTTTCTCGGCGTCGGGGATGGGGCCGCAGCGGGCCGGCCGCGCGCCGAGGCCCTCTCCCGTCTCCGCGCGAGCTTCCCGCCCGGCCGCGGCTGCCCGACTCCGGACGGACCCTCGGGGAGGCAGCCTCGGGGCGTCTTGGTCCGGAGGGGTGGTCTAGGCGGGGACTTCGCCGAGCCGCTCCCGGAGGTCGAACTCTCCCGCCGCGCAGCCGAGAGCGGCGTCTGGGCCGCCCTCGAGTTGTGCAAAGTTCTGGACGCGGCGTTTGTGGCAGGGCGGGGGCGGGGGGGGGGGCGGGGCTGGCGGGAAGACTCCGGCGGCTAGCTGCAGGCCTCAGCCGGGAGCTGGCGAAGCCGCCGGCCTACCCTCTGAGGGCTGAGGCACTGTCACGGCGGGACTGCTGGCCCGGCCCGGTTTGCCTGACTTCAGAGGAAATGGAGCCTGGCTTCGTTTCTCCAGAAACCTCGAAAGAGGCCAGAGCACCTGGCAGGAAGTCCCTTTTTCCGCCCCCCGAGGGAGAGTCTGGACCTTCTGCAGCTGGGTCCGCCCCCCACCCCCAGGCTGGGCCAGATGTGATGTTCCCCCTAAAGTCTGGCTTTTCATCCCGCCATCCATCACCCCGCCGGGGCCTCCCCTCGGTGAACTTCCCGGTCCCTTGCCCTCGCGCCTCTCCGCTCATTGCTGGCCCTCCTGACCCGGTCCCCACACGCTGTCGGCGACGAGATCTGTGGAGATCCGCCTGCTGCCGAAGTGCTCTGCCGTCGGATGTGGTCAATACACGTAAACCTCTGCGCGGCCGATGTCGGATGTCTAGGTGAGGAAATAAGACCAGGGTGCACAGGGGCTTCCCTGGCGGTCCAGGGGTTAGGACTCTGCGCTTCCAGTGCAGGGGGTGCGGGTTCCATCCCTGGTCGGGGAACTAAGATCCCACGTGGCGCGGCCAAAAAACAAAAATACAAGGGTGCATAAAATCTTGAGGGCATTGTGTGAGATGCTCAGTGGTCCAGAGCAGAGCCTGGGTGGTTGAGCACAGGTCCTGGCCGAGCTTTGAGAGATGGTTACACCCGCCCTTGGCAGGACCCGGGAATGGAAGCTAGAGTCCGTCTCAAACCCGAGAAAGTTTACTCCGGTGAGGCTGTTGGTCCTTCCATTGCGAATCCCAAGGCCCTTCCTTGGACCCGCTCCAGCACTGCCGTGGGCTGGGGCTTGAGAGCTTGGGCCCGGCACCCGGCAGCCGCTTCCAGCCCTGGGTACCTGGGCAAGCTACCTGGCCCCCACCTCACCCGGGACGACAGTACCGCTGCCCGCTGGGGCACTGTGGAGAAACCGTGCGCTAGGATCTGGTCCTCTCACTACACCGGGACAATCCCCAGGACACGAGTAGCCCCTGCATCACCTTTCCCAAAATGGATGTGTTGGGTCTAGAATCACACCAGGAGCCGCGGACGGTCTGAAACAGGCTTTGCACATGCTCTGACACACTCCACTAGGAGTTGGAAACACGACCTCCCCCCTCCTGGTGCCCTCCCACTCTCTGGGGGAAGTCTTGGGTGGGATGTGCGCCTAAATCCATCTTCGGGCAGAGAAACGTGTTCCCAAAGGTGCCCTGTGTGTGCCAGTGTTCCTGGCCCCCACCGGGAGGACTCTGCACACACCGTGCGAACAACATCCGTTCCCTTTTTTTCCTCCGCTGACCTGCGGGCGTTGCCCACGGGCCTGACAGGGCATAGGAAGCAGGCAGATGGCTGTGTCTCTCCAAACAAGAGTCTCCTACCTCCGTAGCCTCCTTTGAGTACACAAACACTTAGGAAAGCTTTGAAATTAAAGTTCTTTACCTTGGGCCAAATCAACTTCTTAGTCAAAAGGCGAAAGACAAATGGCGAAACGGGGGAAAGCATTGCCAGTTCACATCAGAGACAAATCTCTTTAGTACATAAAGAGCTCTCACAATTGGATAAGAAAAAGACCAAAATAGAAAACTGGGCAAAAGCTACTAAAATATGATTCACCGAAAAGGAAATATAAATGGTTTGTAAGCACACAAAAAAATTACTAATCTCATTCATGATGAGATACTAAATATAAAACTACACCAAAATACCACTTTTTACCTCTCAGACTGAAAAAAAAAATTGGATACCATGCTATGATAACAAGGCTATGTGGAAATAGGCACCCTCATACCTTACTTGTGGAAGGTTAAATTGGTCCAACTCTTAAGAGGGTGATACAGCAGTATCTATCGCATAATTCAACTTTTATGGTTCTTACTGTATTTTATTAATCTGCCTCTTTTCTGTTGTTCTTACATTTAGTGGCTTCAACTGCAATTTCTTGAGATGAAGAATTCTTCTTCATTTGTGTATGTGTTTTGGTTGCTGTGGGTTTTGTAATGATAGAGAATCAGGGGACTTCTGCATAATTGATCCTACTTCCGGTGGAGTAAAACCAGAAAATCCTTAAACATCCTTTTGCATGACAGTGAAATTTACTGCTAAATGTTACCAATTCTTGCTAGAAAAGACGAAAAGAAATAGGAAGTTTTGGCAGTTCAGCTTTATTTATAGTTGCTTGGATCAGAACAATATACATGCAGTGGGTTAAGTTGTGTGGTAAACTAATTTTTTTATAGATGGAGAAATGGATTTAAAAAGAAAATAACTTCATTCTTGATTTTTCTATTTATAAATGGGAATTTCCGAGGAGGGGTTATAAACTAGAATTTTGGGGGAATTTGAATGATGATTCATACTTTCAGTCTGATAAGTTTTCAGTCTCACTGATATTAGGAGATGTGGTCGTTTTATTTAGCATCTTGGCTGGATGAGAGGAATGTGGAAGGAACAGAGAAAACAAGCAGCTGGAGAGGGAGGTTTGTTCCCACCTGATTGGGAATACATAATTTCAGTCACCCTTGAAAATGATAGAAGCTGAAAGAAGTTATGAAAATATCAGATGAGAGTTACTCCGAGGCTCAGGAAACATGGGCTGGGAGGATAGATCTCAGGTACTATCAGAAAGGACCTGACCTGCTCACCTGTGACTCGGGTAGAATCATTCTGGAAGCATTTAACCCTCATGTTCTGTGTCCTGGTTTTGAATCTCTGACATATCCTGGCCCCAGATGTTTAACACAAGTACTCCATTCATCTGTCTCCCAAAAGATGCGTACGTAGGCAATGTACTAACTTTGAAAAATAAAATAAAATAAGGGCAGAGATGATGAAGTAAATTAAACCATGGTATCAATACTATTGAATTAAGTTCTGGGTAATCTATCTGTGTTCTACTGTTTAATCCATTTTTAAAGTTAAAAAGAATTCTATGTACAACATTTGTTTTGTGATTTAAATTTAGGGATGAATTAAAACTAAGGTGACTATGGAGGCAGGAAAGTAGCTAATCATTGCTGTAGGCTTACAGTTTGAGAAACTTCTGTGGAATGCTAGAATACTTTTTTTTTAAATTTAATTCCTTATAAATCACATATTATGCAAGACAATTAAAAATAAAGTCAGAGGGGGACTTCCCTGGTGGTCCAGTGGTTAAAACTCCGTGCTTCCAAGGCAATGGGTGTGGGTTTGATCCCTGGTCGGGGATCCCACATGCTGGCGGTATGGCCAAAAAAAAAAAAGAGAGATAAAATCAGAAATCTTCACTATCCCTGTTCTCTAAATAAAACCTAATGCCTAAAACTTTGGGGAATGTTAACAGGTTTATTTTCTTTCATTGCATTAAAGATGTCATTCCATTGTTTTCTGGCTTTATTGTTTCAAAGTCAGCCAACAATCTTCAAAAGTAATGTATCTTTTTTTTTTTTCCCCCTGGATCCTCTTAACATTTTATGTTTATCTTTGGTTTTCAGCAGTCCTGCTATGATGTGCTAGGTGTGGCTGGCTTTGTGTTTATCTTGCTTTGGAGTCATAGTGCTTCTTGAATCTATGATTTGATGGCTCATCAGTTTTGGGAAACTCTTGGTTATTATCTCTTTTGGTATTGCCCCATTCTCTTTCTTTTTCTGGGAAACCAATTACATATATGTTTCACCGTCTCAGCGTCACACGTGTCTCTAATGCTTGTTTCTGTATTTTTTCCATTGTTTCCTTTGGTGCTTCAATTTGTATGTTCTCTATTGATTTGTTCCCAGTTCACTAACCCTGTCTTCTGTTGTGTCTAATATACTGAATTCATAATTTTATTTAATGTACTTTTTAGCTCTAGGGCTTCCATTTGAGTTATTTTTCCAGATTTCAATACTCAAGTAAGATTCTCCCTCTTTTCCTCTATTTTCTTGAACATGTTAACCATAGTAATTTTAAAGTCAGGTAACTTCAGTATCTGGCTTAACTGTGGGTCTGTTTCTATTGTCTTTTCTCTCTGGTTTTTCATATATCCAGTAATTTTTTATTAGATGCCAAATTTTGCTTGTAAAAAGTTGTAGAGGCTTCAAATGTTATTATCCTCCAGGGAGGGTTTACCCCTTCCTCCACGAGACCAATGAGAAGAGTAGCCAATCTTGTACTGAGTCACAGCTGCATTGAGATCCTGGTAGGGCTCAGTCTACCTCTGTGCCTCCAACTTCCACCTGGGAGCCTGGAGTTTGCTCTGCAGCGACCCACCCCATCAGCACCCCAGCAGGTCTCAAATGCAAATCTTCACCTTGCAAGTCTATCAAAAGCTTCCTCTGCTTTTCAGAGGCTTTCCACTTCAATTTCAGTTTCTTAAAATAAAGAGTTGCCCAGAATCTGGCACATGTCCTTGGAATTCCCCACTCGGTCTCTGCCAAAAGCTCTGCTGTTTGCCTGTCCCCAGCAGTGGACCTCTGTGGATTCAAAGTCTGGATCCTCAGCCTCATGCCTGTGTCCAGAATTGGCAGATGCCCTCAGGGTAAATAAAAGTGGCTGCAGACATTTGCTCACCCTCTGGGGTTCTCTGCTCCCTGGAGTCTTTTTTTTTTTTTTTAATTTATTTTATATTTTTGGCTGCATTGGGTCTTCGTTGCTGCACGCAGGCCTTCTCTAGTTGTGGCGAGCGGCGGCTACTCTTCGTTGAGGTGCGCAGGCTTCTCATTGCGGTGGCTTCTCTTGTTGAGGAGCATGGGCTCTAGGTGCGCGGGCTTCAGTAGTTGTGGCACGCATGTTCAGTAGTTGTGGCTCGTGGGCTCTACAGCGCAGGCTCAGTAGTTATGGCGCATGGGCTTAGTTGCTCCACGGCATGTGAGATCTTCCCAGAGCAGGGATCGAACCCGTGTCCCCTGCATTGGCAGGCGGATTCTTAACCACTGCGCCACCAGGGAAGCCCCTGCTTTCTGGAGTCTTAACTCCTCCAGTTCTTATCTCTTCAGCGGCTCTTCACTGCCTTCAAAGAGATGGATTCTGACGTGTATTTCTGGCTTTTCTAGCTGTTATTAGTGGGAACGTTGGTCTGCTGCAAGCTGCTTTATAACCCCTGAGAGTGGACATTCAATTTATTGATGGACCACTATGTAAATTAAAAAGTAAAAGTGATGGGACTTCCCTGGTGCATTTAGCAGAAACCAACAATTATTACTTAAGAAAATAGGGGTTTATTTTTCTCCCTTCAGAGGAGTCCAGAGGTCTGTAGTCCAGAGCTGATACCATCACTGAAGGTTCTTTTAATCTTCCTTCTGGAGAAAATAATTTTACTTTGATGGAAAAGTACCCGTTATCTGTTAACACACCCTTCCACCTGATCAGACCCAGGCAGCTGCTTCACAGCTCTAACTAACAGTAGGTAACTAATAGCAATGCAGAATTCTATAACTACAGTTATAACTGTAACTAAGCAGATTCTGCCCTTTCAGGTGAAGCTTCAAGTGTCTTCCCTCCTACCCTGTGGAAAGCCAGTTTTACCTCCATTTTCCATTCATTTCAACATTCCTTTACTCCATATGAATTTGTGCTTCTTGGCACCTTATAACATCTGCCTAGTTCCCTCATAAGGTCAATAAAATCTTTAACATATGTTCATTTTTATATCTGAATGTGAGGCATGATTTTACTTTTTTTCTGAAACTTACCTTTTAACACTTTTTATGCCATCAACAAAAGGATGTCAGCTGTACCTCCAGGCATTGTGTTTGTGGTCCAGATGAGAATAAGGGGGAAGGGCTAAGAATGAAAATATGTCAACTAACTCTGTCCATTTTTATCTGGAAAACCGTAGCTTGTCCAGAAGCCCCACCCCTAAACTTCCTCTCACTTCTGACTTATTAGGAAAAATATGTCACCTCGTCACTACTAGTTGCAAGGCATGATGGGAAATTACTGCTCACCCCCCCCACACACCAAAAAAAAAACACCACCTG